CTAACAGTTGCTAAGCAAAACCAACAGATTCTAAAAGTAGTCTAATAGCAATCTCCCGAGAGTACAGACGTACAGACTCACTTACCGCGATTTCCATTTTATCTTCTTTGTCGGCCATCTTGTGGTGGTCCCGGGTTTCGGCACCAATTAATATGTGGCGGTTTACTTGGTATTATGTTCTCTTAAATTGGATTCTCTAAGAACTGGGGACGATGGCTTTTCGATAATAAAGGAAACAATTAATTGGCTAACTCGTAAATTTTCTAGATTTCAGTAGTACAAGTCAATAACAGGCCAGAAAAGAAATTTCGAAAATTTGCCAAATTTCAGTGGTACAAGTCAATAACAAGCCAGAAACGAAATTTCGAAAATTTGCCAAATTTCAGTGGTACAAGTCAATAACAAGCCAGACAATGAATTTCAGGATACCTCCACGAGATTATGTTCTCCTGATACTCGAAATTTCAGTAGTACATGTCAATCATAATTCCGAATAGTTTCAAAGAAATTTTTGGACTTAGGAGGGGTATATGGGTTAAATAAATAGGCAGTGATGTTTAGAATACATATATTTATTCATTATTAACAATACACATTAATACAATGTTTTATAATCATTATTTTGCAATAATTATATTTACATTATATTATATTTAATAATTTCTCTTCGAATTATCCTTTGCATTATTTTCGATTTTTCTACATATCCAACCATTGCAACCTGCAGACTGTCACCGAGTGCGATCCTCCAGCTTTGATTTGCGCTGCATTGAAAGCGCCGCTCTATGTAACGGCGAAACGCTCAAACTGGTAGTCGAAAGTTATCGACGTGTTACTTGCACGGTTACAGTTACCGTTCTTATCAATGATGTCGCTGTTCTATTTTACCGATAACCTTATGCAGTTACCATGCCGTGCGTTTACCAGTTTGAGCGTTTCACCGCACAAGTATTGGCGCTGATTGAAGATGAAAATAAACAAGTGATTCTTGCCTCAGTTTGCAATGCACAATATAGCTATAGGAGCAACAATTGTAATAATTGATAACAAGCATGTTTCAAGATATGTATACGGACAAGTCTTCGGTCGAGAATGGAGATGTGGGATAATAAAATAGATAAATTAATATCGATTACTACTTTTTATCTCACGGTAAACACCCAATGATTTCATTCGGAAAATATACGTTCTTGTTACCAATTCTCTTGTGCATTTGCACAGCGAACAATGATGATTGTTATATTCCAGTTGTTTTATGGCATTGTATGGGTAAGATTATTTTATTTTCATATAGTTTAAGTTTTACGGTGTTAATGTCTATTACGTGGTTATATTTTCAGGGGATAACGAAAATACCGTTCACCGAAACGCGCAGTTCATCTTTGACGTACCGAAAGAAAAGCCAGCCCCTCTGTTACTGGGTAATTCCTTTTTGGAAAAAGTTCTGATACTATAGATTCCATTAAGAATGCATATAAAAGCATATTTGATATCTCGTCTGCGATAATACATTGGATGTCCAGTCTACTCCTATACCCCGTTTGTAGTTATGTCACGTCGCTAAAAACCAGAGGTTTCTTTACGCCCTCTACCAAAATGGAACAGTCAGCTAGAGAACTAGGTAAGACTGCAGCACAGAAATTTCGTTTCCATTTTACAGTAATATACCTTTTAGTTCAATGTTTTACCGCCACGTGGTTACAGTGTTTCGATGCTCAGATTTCTTCATGTATATGCATTTATATACGTAGTAATAACGCCGGCATTTTATATATTGTTTTCTGTTGTTCCTAGCTGTAAGCGGTTCGATACCTCCGTGAAGCGATTTTATTAAATAATCGTGGAGAGGTTGTTGATTCCTACCATAATATCATTTCTTCAATATTCCAGATATAAGTTTATTTCTACAAAATGGTAAGTATTACCTAATTGATATACTTTTCGATGTACTCGTTTAAGGTTATGTCTTACACGTGGTTTCTTGTTTGTATGTATATATAATAACATCATCGTGATAAACAAAAACTCTAATACCGAGTCAATTTAAATAATATAAATCTGCACATTTAAATAAAAGAAGAAATTTAATTGCTTTTTTATTATTTGTATAGACTGACGAAGTCAATCCAAGAGCTTATCCATTGGCGGATGCAACGTTAACTGCGAAAATCCTGAATTTGGTACAACAAGCAATGAATTACAAACAATTACGGAAAGGAGCAAATGAAGCTACGAAAACATTAAATCGTGGTCTCTCCGAATTCATTGTAATGGCTGCAGATGCGGAACCATTGGAGATTTTATTGCATTTGCCATTGTTGTGCGAAGATAAGAATGTACCATACGTATTTGTAAGAAGCAAACAAGCTTTAGGTCGAGCTTGCGGTGTGTCTCGACCTGTTGTTGCTTGTTCTGTAACTGTTAACGAAGGTTCACAATTGAAACCACAAATTCAAGCAGTACAACAAGAAATCGAACGACTTCTAGTTTAAGTTATTTGTACTGAAAATAATTTTAAGAAGCTAAGCTGCATGTAGTTCATGTAATATGATAAATGTAACAAATGAATGAATAAAAATATAATTAAAACAAAAGTGAAATCAACTATTGTTAACATTTACATTATATATATGATTGTTATTAATTCTCATGTATTTTAAGATGCAAATACTTATTATTGTGTATATGTATATATACACATTTATTTTATATAACATTTCTATAAATCTATACAGTGCAATATTGTATAAGCATTTGCAATCTTTATATAAAAGTAAAATGGTGTTACTTATTGAAATGAAGGTAACGCATTGGAAATCCAGTTATCGTGCCACCGATTCTTCTGAAACTCGTGGAGTTCTGATCTGAATTTTTCATTTAATCTATGTTGAACGTCACTGTTTGGAAAATTTTCAAACCATGTTTTTAATAGTGTTGCTAATTCCTTATAACTTGAAAAGATCATTCCATTTTCATTATGTTTAACAAGTTCTGATAAACTGAAAATTAAAAGCAGTGTCTTTACAAATATGTTCAAAATTTCATTATATATATTATAGAATATAATAATATCATTACAGTTTCTTACCAATTAAAATTGTATGCGCAAACTGGAAGTTCACATCCAAACATGTCGACAACTTTCATAGGTAAATCCAAACCACTGGACGAAGTATGAAGAGAAATTCCTAAATCTGCACTAGCTGCAACAAACAATAGAGCTTTCAAAAAATGATTACAATATAAATATTCGAGTACATGTACCACATTCCATTACCTAATATTTTCGGATAGTCTTCACTTGTAAGCCATGGGGTCAAAATTGTAACATGTTTCCACATCTTTAATTTTATAATGGCCATATAAAATTCTTTCAGCTGTCCTTTACCAGTTATTACACAAATTAAATCAGGAAGATTGTACACCTTTTCTTTAACTGCATTTTCGTATTCTGAAATACATAACATAAATGCGTTTTGATACTTTCAGTTCCATATGACATGTAATATGTAAAATACCTTGTAATGCATTTAGTAATATAGAGAAGTCTTCATCTTCGGTCCAACTTGTACTAGACACGATGAAGCCAGGCCTTTCAGGTTTCAAATGTACCTCATCTGATCTACATTCTGTAAATATAGTAGAGTTTTTGTCTGGGCCTTCAAACGCATCATATGTTTCGCTTAAGCTTAATAAAAATTTATGTTTCTCTGTTAGCGATATACGATGAAATTTATCTATTGGACGATCATACAATATTTTAGCCCTAAATGAAAAAAAATGATTAAACAAGACATTTGAAAGCAAAAAGTTGTAATTGTAATTACTAACCCAATTCCCCATGTTACTTGTAGATCTTCCTTCAAAGCCCCAGAAACACAAAAATTACTTTGTGCTTTGGAGCCGAAAAATATTTCAATTGCCTTTGCAACCTTTACCAATAGATGGTCATTCCTTAAATGTAGTGCCATTATAGTATAAGCATAATTGTGCCAATCCACGATAAATTGAGAATTGACTGCAACACAATAGAACCAACAGACTGGAATTGTCGGTACTGCGGGTGCATTTTGTATCAATACATGAGTGGATATAGGTTTTTTAAATAAGACCCAACAGAGACTAACGGTTTGCCACAAAGTTTTTATTAAATACCGCACAAGGCTGGGAAAATCTGAAATTATAAAATACCTAATTAGAGACTTTTGTTATTCTTAAGTAAGTATTTTATTGTGCAAGTACAATATTATAATAAAATATAACTATTAAAGTAAAATAAAAGATAACATACTGTTGCCTATAGATGGTGGAGGTGGAAGATAATAAATACATACATGAGGACTTTCTTGAATTTCTTTTAATGGGTTTGCACCAGAATAACCTACAAAATCTACTGTAAAACCTTCTTTTATTAATGATAGTACATGATATTGCATTCTAGGGCTTCTGCCTAGATCTCCAAGAACAACAACACAGATATTTTTCTCTACTTTATATTTCTTTATATATAACTTTCTCATCACGAATAAGATTAAAGAAAATACACACAGGAAATAGACTACCCACATTTTGAGTTCAAATTGCAATTGAAAATACTATTTTTAACGGTCACAAAATGTATATTTTCTCTCATAAGTAAAGTAAATTTCGTAGGTAAGTTTCCGAATTCGAATTGAACACACTACATAATGTCAAAATGTTACACGTCGTACATATATGTATACGTGGCGCTGTATTCGTATTTACAAAACGTGTGGCATGGCACAAATTTCTTCAATATTTTTTTTTAAACATGTTTCAGAATACGTGATCGGATCGACTGATTCGTTGCACGATATATTTATTATTTATAGTTTTTCAGCG